CACGGTCTATAGGAGATAAACACACACTGAGCAACAGCTTTACACACAGTCTGTGTGAGACAGAAGCACACACACACACACACACACTTACTCCTCTGGGAAGCACAGACACACACACACACACACACACACAAACAGGCGCACACATCTTTGTGGGGACTCTCCATAGGCGTAATGGTTTTTATACTGTACAAACTGTATATCCTGTCCCCTTACACTAACCCTACCCCTAAACCTACCCATCACACACACACACACACACACACACACACACAACTTTCTGCATTTTTACATTTTCAAAAAACATTAGTTAGTATGATTTATACGCTGTTTTCCTCATGGGGACCGCTGGCTGGTCCCCACAATGTAGGTGATTTCAGGTTTTACTATACTTGTGGGGTCATTTGGTCCCCACAATGTAATATAAACATGAACACTTACTCCTCTGGGACAGTTGAACGCTCCTGGACGGCCTGGAGGACCCGGAGGACCCTTTGGGAACACGAGAGGAATCATTACAGAATCACGACAGGCATTGTGAATCATCAGGAATTAAAGACTTTGCAACAATCTTCAGCAAGTTCTGTGAGACTGCACGGTCTTATTTGGTGTTGTCTGTCCGAATCACTCTCTATATATCAATATATGGAGAGTGCTTCTGAGGAGACGGGCCGTGCCATCGGCCGCTCAGCATTAGTGGCTACGGAGAGACACCTGTGGCTGAACCTGTCGGGCATTGGGCAGAAGGACAGGGCCTTCCTCCTCGATGCCCCGCTCTCGCTTTCTGGCCTCCGGCGACGCAGTCAATACTGTTGTGGAGAGGTTTTAGGGGGCGAAGCGACAGTCAGCTGCATTCAAACCGCTAATCCCCCGCTGTGGTTCCAGATCTCGTGGGTCTCGGAAGGGGGCATCGGGGGGCAGGGGGCATCAGGGGGCATCGGGGGGCAGGGGGCATCAGGGGGCATCAGGGGGCAGGGGGTATCAGGGGCATCGGGGGCAGGGGGCATCGGGGGGTATCAGGGGCATCGGGGGCAGGGGGCATCAGGGGGCAGGGGTATCAGGGGGCAGGGGGGGCAGGGGGCATCAGGGGCCATCAGGGGGCAGGGGTATCAGGGGGCAGGGGGTATCAGGGGGCAGGGGGTATCAGGGGCATCGGGGGCAGGGGGCAGGGGGTATCAGGGGGCAGGGGGTATCAGGGGGCAGGGGGTATCAGGGGGCAGGGGGTATCAGGGGGCATCAGGGGGCAGGGGGTATCAGGGGGCAGGGGGTATCAGGGGGCAGGGGGTATCAGGGGCAGGGGGTATCAGGGGGCAGGGGGGGGCAGGGGGTATCAGGGGGCAGGGGGTATCAGGGGGCAGGGGGTATCAGGGGGCAGGGGGTATCAGGGGGCAGGGGGTATCAGGGGCAGGGGGTATCAGGGGGCAGGGGGTATCAGGGGGCAGGGGGTATCAGGGGGCAGGGGGTATCAGGGGGCATCAGGGGGCAGGGGGCATCAGGGGCAGGGGGCATCGGGGGGCAGGGGGTATCAGGGAGCATCAGGGGGCAGGGGGCATTCGGGTCTCAGGGGGCATCAGGGGGCAGGGGGTATCAGGGGGCATCAGGGGGCAGGGGGTATCAGGGGGCAGGGGGTATCAGGGGGCAGGGGGTATCAGGGGGCATCAGGGGGCAGGGGGCATCAGGGGCAGGGGGTATCAGGGGGCATCAGGGGGCAGGGGGTATCAGGGGGCAGGGGGTATCAGGGGGCATCAGGGGGCAGGGGGCATCAGGGGCAGGGGGCATCGGGGGGCAGGGGGTATCAGGGAGCAGGGGGCATCGGGTATCAGGGGGCATCAGGGGGCAGGGGGTATCAGGGGGCATCAGGGGGCAGGGGGTATCAGGGGGCAGGGGGTATCAGGGGGCATCAGGGGGCATCGGGGGGCAGGGGGCATCGGGGGGCAGGGGGTATCGGGGGCATCGGGGGGCAGGGGGCATCAGGGGCAGGGGGTATCAGGGGGCATCGGGGGGCAGGGGGCATCAGGGGCAGGGGGCATCGGGGGGCAGGGGGTATCAGGGGCAGGGGCAGGGGGCATCGGGGGGCAGGGGGCATCAGGGGGCAGGGGGTATCAGGGGGCATCGGGGGGCATCAGGGGCAGGGGGCATCGGGGGGCAGGGGGTATCAGGGGGCATCGAGGGGCAGGGGGCATCAGGGGCAGGGGGCATCGGGGGGCAGGGGGTATCAGGGGGCAGGGGGTATCAGGGGGCAGGGGGTATCAGGGAGCATCAGGGGGCAGGGGGCATCGGGGGGCAGGGGGCATCAGGGGGCAGGGGGTATCAGGGGGCATCAGGGGGCATCGGGGGGCAGGGGGTATCAGGGAGCATCAGGGGGCAGGGGGCATCGGGGGGCAGGGGGCATCAGGGGGCAGGGGGTATCAGGGAGCATCAGGGGGCAGGGGGCATCGGGGGGCAGGGGGCATCAGGGGGCAGGGGGTATCAGGGGGCAGGGAGCATCAGGGGGTATCAG